GGGGGGGGGGTTGATAATATTTTTATAATATTTTATTAAGATAGACTTGGTATGATTTTATGATTTGTTAGAAAATAAATTAACTAAACTATAGTTATCTCGCTTAAGTATGAATTAGTAAAATTATAGTCAAATGATTGTTTAATAATGATATTAGGATATATAATTGTTGATTGATAATATGACTTATTATGTAATATAATTACTATGATGACTATGAAATGGATGCACAAAAAGGAGTGGTAAACCAACCGATACACTGTCTGTAAATTTATGAAGGATGATGATGTTTTTATGTTATGTTTTATGTTTTATGTGTTTTTTGTTTGTTGTTAAAATTAATAAAACTTTAAAAAAAAAAAAAGAAGAACCTCCATTTACAAATGGTAATTCTTGTAGGTCATACATAATGAAAGAAATATATGTGGATAAATTGGTGATAAATATTCTTTGCATTGGGTAGCAGCCTGAGTTTCTGAAAGTATGCTGTAACCATTCATAGACAGCAATTCTGTTCAGAGAGGTAATTTTCCTAATATTAAACCACGCCATTGCACTACAAATTTAGTTAGAAAATTTATCAGTTATTGATGGGATTATGTTTTGTTTTGATTGACCAATGCTTTAATTATGATGCTTTCTCAGGGTTGTGATACAATACTGTATACTTGTATAAGGAACAATAGCACACTCTCTTTTTGATTTGTGAGTACATCGAGTGGTCTTAAATGAGTGTCTCTAACATTGCAAAAAAAAATCTCTATCTGAAAAGAATGTTAAACAATATTTAAAAACTTAGATTGCTAGCAATTGAGCCATGGTAACTCAAGTTAACAGAGTTTTTCAAAACTTTATTTCTCCCCCATCCTATTTTCTTCCTATTTTTCTGAGCAATATTTAATTTATTACAAATCTGAAATACTTGTAGTGCGCAGATATTTTACGGGACTTGTTATTTTCTATGCAGGAGGTTATGAGTCAGATTACTGTCAAGTAAAATGTTTATGTGAAATCAAAAAAAAAAGAAAGAAAGAAAGAAATACTAGATTGTTGACACTAGAAGGACATGATTTGTTGTTGGGGTGGCATGCTTTTCTATGGTATAAGGGAACTAAAACGCAGGGCTATTTTAGAAGACATCATATACGGGAGTCTCTGTGGTTAAATTGGGAGAAGATTAAAAGACAATGTTATTTGAAAATTCCAGTCTGGTTATCGACTATTGAAGCGTTTTCCTATCCTATAATATACAAGAAGGAACAAACAGTTAGATATGGGGAAATATTGGATGAAAAGGGTGAACTTAAATCGATGCAAAATCTAGAGGAACAAGGTATAAAGATGAATTGGTTTTCATATGCGCAAATACACTCAAGGTATGATGAAGATCTCAAAACAGAAGGATTTTATGACAAATTGACTGATTTAGATAAGATTTTGACAGGTACTGATGAAAAGGTGATTAAAAAACTGTATGGTTATTTATTGGAAACTAAACTAGACGAAGAACAAGTTAAAGAAACTATGATTGCTTGGGGGAAGAATTTTGGATATGGGATTGATTTAGAGAAATGGCAAAAATTGTGGTCTCAAAATTATAAAATGACAATGTCAACAGCATATAAAGAAAATTTGTATAGGATGTTTTACAGGTGGCATTTCCCCCCGATAAGAATAGCAAGAATGTTCAAGAATAAATCCAAAAAATGTTGGAAATGTCATCAGATACCTGGCTCATATTACCATATGTGGTGGACTTGTGAGGACGCTAGAAAATACTGGACTAAAATCCGCATGTGGTTGGAAAAAATGATAAACATATAGATTTGAAACCAGAGATTTTTTTATTGGGAATTTTACTTGATAGATACAGTAAAGATTTAAAATATTTGATTGTAAATGTATTAACAGTGGCTAGGATTGTATTTGCTAAAAATTGGAAAAATGAGAAAATACCATTACAGGAGGAAATTATTAAGAAAATATTGGAATGTGCTGAAATGAGTAAATTGACATTTGAAATTAGAGAACAAGAGGATAAACAATTTTATAAAATTTGGGACCTTTTCTTTCAATGGTTAGATAATAAAATACAATAATAGAATATCTAGAATTTTAGAAAATAATAAATATATAAAGATGTATTTCTTTTTTTGTTATCATATCTATAAAATGTTTCTAGGATAGATTTGGGAGGATTATATGAATTGTTATAAAATAAACTAAGTAAATTATAGTTATCTCGCAAAGTATGAATGAATAAAATTATAGTCAAATGATTGTTTAATAGTGATGCTAGGTTATTTAATTTTTGATTGACAATATGAGTTATCATGTAATGTAACTGTAATTGAGACTATGAAATGGATGCACAAAAAATTTGTAAACCAACCGACACACTGCTTGTACACTTATGAAAGAAAGTTGGATGTTTTTATGTTTTGTTTGTTTTTGTTTGTTTTTAAAAACCAATAAAACTTGTTTTAATAAAAAAATAATAATGATACTAAGGTATTTAATTTTTGATTGAAAATACGAGATTATATTCAATGTAACTGTAATTGAAGACTACGAAATGGAAGCACAAAACAATTTGTAAACCAACCAGCACACTGTACATATATGGAAGATGGTTTGATGTTTTTATGTTTTGTTTGTTTATGTTTGTTTTTAAAAACCAATAAAAACTTTAAAAAAAAAAGAAGACAATTTTCATAGGAAGGCTTGGGGTTTATATACAGTTTCAGAAACAGTCACTGCTCCTTTCTGGGTTCATAATCTATCCAACTACGCAATCTTCTTGATAGTTGCAACATCCTACTATTGTTAATTTTAGCATAACATCTGTTTCCTTGACCTGTCAATTATTTTCCTATGACCTGCCAACTTAATTGTTGACCTGCCAACTTAATTGTTGACCTGCAAACTAATGTCCTAATGTCCAAAACAAATTTGTTATTGAAAATGCAGAGAATTCTTACATAATATTCCAGTAAAGTGTCTTAGGTTAACACAGAGGCTAAAGATGGCGTTACCATAACTTTATATTTTTAAAGGAATACTTATCTTACATATCACAACTTCCCCCTTTTTCTCTTGTACCTTTATTCCTTTAAATCATCACCTATCTCCCTTAACATAAGTCTCACTTCCTGTTGGCTTAACCTCTTTCCTTCCATCTCCTTTTTCCTTGGTTTGGTTACTTTACAACAATATTTAACAGAATTACATACAGGCATACATTGAATACAGATACAAGAAATGAAGCAGATTATAACAATAATAATGATACAAATGAGTAAGTCTTTCAACTAGGTAAAATTTGGTAACCAAGAAGTTAATCCATACCATATCCTCTTAAATGTATTGGTATCTTCAACATGTGTTAAATGGGTAGTAATATTATGTAAAGCGTTTAGTTTAGATTCTATAAATTGTGATTTGTCTGAAATATTAAAACATAACCCATCAAATTCTTCACACCCATGTCCCATTCGTAATACTAATCAATAGCAACTCGATTCTGTAGTACATATTTCTGAATTTCACCCATTTCATCAGCCATAGCAGCTATAGCAGATGATGTTTCATCAATACTTCATACTAGGGCACATGCCAAATGTCCTAATTGAATGTTATTATAAGTAGCTCCCCAGGAAAATATACCTGAAAGCCCTGCTTCTACTTTAGATAATATTACCACTTCATCATTACAGTCTGCAGAATATACTTAACTAAATGCAGATCTTTTTCCTCTATAGATCTTTTCATGTGAGTTATAATGTTCAGATTTCCCCCATTTAGTTATAGGCCATCGTACTGTTGGATATGTGTATATGATAATGTGGGGTTCTTTAGGTTCTTCCTTAGGTTCATGCACATATTCGTGTTTGTGTCTCTCTCCTCTATCTGCTGTATCATCTAATGGCACTTGAAAATTACCTACCATCATGATAAAGACTAGAATTCATCACTTCATAGTATAATTGTTTGCTGATTAATATTCTTAGTGTGTGCTACTGCAATGACAGTAGTTAAATGTCCTATTGTACAAGGTCCTCCTATTGCATTAGCAGGTATAAATGCATAAGCATATAATCCACAAAACATAAACCATCCTCTAGGCAGGAATAACACTTGTCCCATAGCTTCTACTTCTATTTCTGTACAGGGAAACACATCCTCAGTAGGCAAATAATTATATATAACCTTTTCCTGTTTCTTCTCTGCATGCTTATATTTCACACAATCATAAGCTGGTAAAATTGTTTTTACTTCAATTACCAACTTCTTTTGATTAGTCCACTTATTTGGCTTCAGTGGAGCTCCAAATAAAGTAATCACCTTTGACAAATTATAAAAAGTGTAAGGATTAGGTTGTATGGTGATTTTTGCCTCTGCAAATAAAAACTTTCCTGGCAATGGAATTCCTATAAAACAAGTGGACATAATATCAGAAACTGTAGTTTCCCCCTTTACACAAAAAGAGGAACTATTCAGAGCTACTTTCATTAGCTCCAGAAATATGTTCACATTTCTCTCTATCGGTCCTCCTACGTGTCTAGGACATCTAATTGGAGCTTTAGGAGCTTTAAGGTATCCAAATGTACATCTACCCTTCCATGTAAATGGAAGTTTTGCAAGGGCTATATTTCCACATAAAAACCTAAGCTTCAACTGAGTACTTCCTAATGCAATATATGGTAAAAACAGCCCTTCCTCCAACATTCTAAATCTCATACAGGAAGGTGAATAATTACCATATAGTTCAACACATTAATTATACAGCTGTTCCATTTTCTTTGACAAATCTTTTTTACTGATGGCTATATCATATGTGCAATTACACTTTGGATATCTACCCAAAGGTAAGCCATCACCCAAGGTGTACAGATTCCAGCCTCAGCTGTGGGTACAATTAGTGTCAGCAGTGTTTGCGCTTGATAATATTCACTTTCGGGTTCAGTATGGAAACATAGTTGCTGCCATGTTATAGGATAACTAGGCAATACATCAAAAGCTTCCATACTTACCCTCCACAAGGTAACAACCACTATCACTATTGACTTTGTGGGAAGTGTATTCATTTTATGACTCAAAGCTCATGATGAAAAAGGGATGTTTCCTTTTGAAGTGAGAAAAGGCAGTACCAAGCACTGATTAGAACTGATCTTGGAATGTTTTTGAAGTGCTGGGAACTATCACACATTTTGGAATGCTTTTGAAATGCTAGATACCGGATAAAGAAGTGTCTGTTACGAGCTAGGTACCATGAAAGATAATAAAATGTAACTTGTATCCTGAAAGATAGATTGTAAATCAAGCCATTTGTATACTAGTTAGATTTTATTATCTTTCATGGGGGGGGGGGGTGTTGGGGATAAGAGTAGAGCCTTTAAGCTTTGCCTTTCGTTCCTCCCACCTGCCAGGGCAGGACCCTGTTTCTGCAGAAATGCTACAATAAAGCCTTTTTCCTTGGATCAACTTTGAATCCTGGTGGTTTTTCTTAGCCACAATCTCACAACTTCATGCAGGGATGGAACTCAACCGGTTGTTACCATTCCCGATAGTTCAGAGAACTGGTAAATCGGGCCTCTGGCTGGCCCTGCCCCTCTCCACCCGCTTCTCCGCTGCCTGCCCTTCAGTCCTTATCATGCATGCGCGACATTGCACGCATGCGCAATACTGCTGCCTGCAGCCTGCTCTTGCACGCCCGCCAGGCCAGCCATTGCTGCCTGCCTTCCGCTGTGGCCCTGCCTTTACTGATCTCCCTGGGTGAGTGAGGCTCTGCAAGCCCCGGTCGCCTTCCCCCCCACCTGCCTTTTGCTGCCACCGCTGGTCGCCTCCCCCCCCCACTTGCCTTTTGTTGCCACTGCCAGTCACCTTCCCGGCCACTTGCCTTTTGCTGCCATTGGTGGTCACCTTTCCCTCACCACTTGCCTTCAGCTGAGGAACACGTGGAGAGGCTTGTATAGGATCCGGCCAGGTCAGCAGCTGCTTCTCTCACCAGCTGCTGCACAGCGGAAAGCTTTCAAGTCCCCCCCCCCCCCCCCATTAGAAACGGCTGCAGGGAGCAGAGCCTGGAAACCCCGATGCACCACGTGTGCAGCCGCATGGATGGTGGGAGGGATGGACACTGACCGGTCCCAGAAGCACTGACGCCACTGGAATCACCATTGCCGCCTCGCTGCTGCTGCATCCCCCACCCCCTGCAGATATGGTGAGCGTGAGCCTCGGGATGGGTGACCGACCGCCTCAACTGCTGCTCCCACTGACTGTTTTCCATGCCAAGAGTGGAGGCGAGAGAGAGAGAGAGCAGCCCTCTTGGTACGGAAAAAAGTCATGTGTCTCCCCATATTCCTCTCACCGCGAGTAGCACCTTTAAACTTAGTGCGCTTCACAAATGAGGAGGGGACGAGGCTACTCGCAGAGAAAGCAATATGGGGAGAGGAGACACACAACTTTTCTCCACGCTGAGCTGCTCTTGCCAGTGACTCCAGACTGTTTTGCCCAGCTAAGACTAGATCAGGGGTCCCCAAACTTGCTGGCTGGAGAATTCTGGGAGTTTAAGTCCCCAAGTCTTAAAGTTGCCAAGTTTGGGGACCTCTGGACTAGATTATCAAGGAAGAGAGTAACATGCAGCGGATGCCTAGCAAAATTTAGTAATACTGCAGATTGGCTGTTTACATTGAAATCAGGTGCAAGATAGTGATGGTAGGTAAATTATTGGGCAGTTTAGTTTGGTATTTATTTCAGTAGGCTGATTTTAGAAAGCTAAACAGGATCAGACCTGGTAAGTACTTGGCTGGGAAGCCAACACAAAATGGGGTGTGGGGAGGAATGGGGTTGGGAAGGAAAGAAGGAAGATAGGATAAGATAATTTTTATTGTCATTTTTTTACTGTAAGTAAACTGGCACACATTAAAAGTGAAATATATATACATATCCATACACATACATAACACACATATACACATGCTACACACACACACACACAAGATTTTGAATACATTTTGAATACATAGCAGAAAGGAAGAAAGTATTGGATACATATACACAAATGTGTGTGAAAAAAACTGCAAAGGAATAGGATTATAAAAATACAGCTTCCAATCTTAGCAGTTATAGATGAGAGAGAGAAAGAGAAATGAAAAGCAGAGAGGGAGAAAGATATAGAGAGAGAGATGAGAAAGAGAGAGGGAGAAAGAAAGAAAGACAGAGACAGAGATACCTTTTTAAAAGAAAATAGAAAAATGGCTCTTTGAGTGTTTAAGGTTGTAGAACCCTGGGTTAGGCAAACACCATGGTCATTAGGTGAACCTTGTGGTCATTAAGCAAACACTGGTTGTTAAACAAGCCCATTTTCCCCAATGGGCATTTTTAACCGGACACCAGAAGGAATTGTTGGAAACTGGCAAAAAAACATAGAAAACCTCAGTCACAAGACTGTGTGGGATGTTTTAACTGGTCATAAGTGTGTGTGTGTGTATGGCTGTCAAAACACCAAAAACAGGAAGTTCCGGTTTGCAGGGCTTCGGCGGCAGGTAGGAATCCGCGATCTTGTGCGGTTTCTGCCTGCGCTCGCCGCTGGAGTACCCCAAGCCAGCCGGCTTCGGGGCTAAGACACCCCGTAGAGGTGGTGAAGACAGGGGAGACCTGGCAGGGTTGAGGGGAGCTGCACCTCTCCTCCTCAGCTGGCTAAACTCCCTTTTCCAAAGGCGGTAAGAGCGGCAGTCAGAAATGGCCGCCTCAAAGAAGCACTCAGCCGGAAAAGAAAGTGCAGGAGGAAGTTAAGAAGTGAAAGTTTTTGGCTGACCGGGACAAAAAGCAACAACTAAGGTACCCTGGAAGTTAAATTTTGCAAAAGATACATCGCTCCCAAAGAAGAGTCGGAAGCAGTGAACGAAAGGGAAAAGGGAAAGTTTTTTTTTTCTTCACTCTCCTTCCTCACGCTGATAACGAGAAGATCTGAATAAAGAAATCGGAAAAATCCACTTTGGCACTAACAGGTAATTAAACTGGAAATTTAATTAAATGCCAAAGGGACAATAAAGATTTCTGAATATTAAAAATCCTTTTTTTGTTATAAGTGGGAAGGGAGAGGAAAAGAATAAGAGCAGGACTTGGAAGGAGGAGACTGCTTGGAATTTAAAAGAACTTAAAGTTAAACCTTAACAAGACTTCTAAAGGATACATTTTAACTGGAATTTTGCAACTAAATAGTAACCCCAAGAAGAGATAGTGAAAAAAGAAGAAAGTGTTAAAAGAAACAGCTTGTGTGTATTTGGATTGTTTGGTGACTTAGGGATTTTTGGAAATCATATCTGAATGACTAAAAATAATTGGCTGGTTGTTTAAAAAAAAATTCTACAATGGCATCACTTCTGGATGGACTGAATGAACTGGATGAACTGAAAATCGAATTTAAAAAATATAAAGAAGAGGAACAAGAAGGGAAGGGCTCTTTTGGCTCTACTTTTCAATTCTTAGAAATGGTGATCGGTGTTTACAAGAAACAGCAAGAAAGGAATGCGCAACAAGAAGATTGGGATAAAGAAGAAGCCATTTTTAATGAACAAGTAATTCTATCTGGGGAAGAAAGGGGAAAGGGGGGAAAGAGAATGTTGAATTTAAGACCTAAAAAAACAGCCCAAAAAGGGGAAAATAATGTGAAAAGGGGATATAATGTTGGAAAGCAACAGAAAAGGGGAAAGAGGAAGGGGGAAAGGGAGGGGGAAGGGGGGGGGGGGGGGGAAAAAAGGGGAGAGAGAAGAAGAAGAAAGGGAAGAGAAGTTACAAAGGTCTGCAGCAAGATGTAAAGAAACAGGATTTATTCAGAGATAATGGGTGAAAATTTAACTGAAAAAGGGATTCTGTAAAGGTACATAAGATTGTATTGTTATATTTGTAATAGAAATAATGTTAGAAAATTGGAAACAACATATGATAAAAAAAAGTGGAATAAAATAGTCCGTGCAATTTAGCGAAACCTTTGTGAACAAAATAAATGAAATGAAATAAATGAGAGAATTGAATTAGGAAGGAATGGGAACATTTTAACTACTCAATGTTTTATAAAATATAAGTGAAGTGGGAGGGAAGTAATCATGGAAAGTTTATAAGTGTTCCCATAGAAGTATGATACTTATTTGAAAAGTAATGTGTAAAATGTTCAAGATTTAAATGAATATTAATATTAACGATAGAATTGAATTGGTATGGATTGTTGTTTTAATTATGTTATATATGTATAATTTTTTCTTTTTTTAAAATACATTGTGTAGTTTTAGAATGTACCATGCAGAATCCAAACGGAAGTTATGTATTACATTAAGTGTTATAATTTTAGGGGAAAGATATAAAGGCGTCATACTCCAATTAGTGATTACAGGAGAAATTTTGCTTCATGAGAAAAGATAATAGACAGCTGAAACAGGACAGACAAAGAATATAAGCATGATGATTTGAATTGAGATGAAATAAATAAAATAAAATTAAGAAAGTTGAAAGAGGGGAGAAATTATATAGAAAATGTAGAATGATAATAAGATATGGAATGGAATATAAAAATGAGCATGAACTTGAATTTGTGTCTGCACGAAGAGATGTAACCTGGGATCAGGCTGCTTTCAAAAAAGATGTTTTATGTTTTTATGTTCTATGTTTTGTTTGTTTATGTTTGTTTTTAAAAACCAATAAAATTTTCAAAAAAAAAAAAAACCCCACCAAAAACAGGTCAAGTAGCTCTGGGGAGGTCAGTCGTAAATTAGAACACTTGCTAAGCAACTGGCCATTACACGAGGACCACTTATATTTGGTTTGCCAGTCACATGGCCACCTAGCTACACCCACCCGTTACATGACCACCTAGCCACGCCCACCCCAGTCACATGACCACCTAGCCATGCCCACAAATTTGGTCACACCCACAGAACCAGTTGTTACGAAATTTGAATCCCACCCCTGACTTCATGTTGTAATGTTGTAAATGGACTAGGCCCCCTCCCTCCTTATGTCTGTAGTTTATATGTCAAAGCTTACAACCGGTTGTTGGGAACTTACATCCACTCCTCCTCCTCCTTCCTTCTGGTACCACAGCAATTGTTTACACCAGTCTATTGTCTCATTCCTTAACATAATCAATAATACAATAAAAAACTTTTACAAAGAGATAAGAAAATTGGAGATATTGATACTCGATTGAGCGATGTTGAAAAGGGCAGGAGTGGACCATTAGGATGGGAAATTGATAGATCAGAATTTTACCTGAGATTTCAAAATGTAGAAGAAGGAAAAGGTGAAAACCTTGCTGAAATAATGACAGAAATACTGGCAGAAGCAGGCTTCCAGTTTTGCAAGGCTTCGGCGGTGGCAGGAATTCGCGATCCTCCGCGATTCCTGCTGCGCTTGCCGCCGAGGTTCCTCTGATCCGAACGGATCTGGAGGATAGGGCTGCCCCGTAGAGGCAGTCAAAGAGAGAGGGGATCCGGATTTGGGTTTGGGGGTATCGCAAACCCCCTCCTCAGCCGGCAAAACCCCTTTTTCCCAAGGCGGTGGAGCGGCAGTCAGTAATGGCCGCCACAAAGAAGCCTGCAGCTGGGTAAGATTTGTGCTGGAGGAAGCAGGTGAAGGTGAAAGTTTTGGCTGAACCGGGACTACAAGAAACCTCTAAATACCCTGAAAACTGAATCGTTCAAAGGATACATTGTCTCCCAAGGAACATCATAAAAGCGGTGAAAAAAAGAAGCTGAAAGGGAAAGTTACTTTCTTTTACTCTCCCTTCCCATAGAAACAGCAGTTGGAAATCTGGAAAACATGCTTGGGCATAGAAGGTAAACTTGAAATTTTAAGCCAAGGGGATAAAGGATTTCTGGACATTGGAATTAAAAATTTAAAATTCTTTTTATTTCTTATAAGTGGAAGGGAAGAGGTAAAGATTTACTTTAA